TGCCACTGTGCCCAGCCCCAGCCCTTTGTATATTTTATTCTGAGAGAGGGTCATATTAAGTTGCTTAGGTCTCCATAAATTTCTGAGGCTGGCTTTGAACTTGTGAATAGAAATGTTTTTTTATCTTCAGCAGTCATTAAGAATGTATGTTAAAAAAGGAAACAAAAAATCACCAAGGTGTACATTTTCTTCTATGTAATATATATATATATATATATACTTTTAATAAATCCAAGCCCCTTTAATAAACAAACAAAATCTTACATCTAACCTAATATAAAAAATTAAATAAAGGCTACTTCAGCTGAAGCAGAGACGGGGGGCTTGAATACCCTTCCAAGGTACAAATTTTTTTTACTTCTCAACACTCTCTAATATATTCCTATGGAACCCAGGGATCAAAGAACGATTTAAAAGACCATAGGGCTGGGGGTATAACTCAGTAGTAAAGTACATGTTTAGCATGTATGAGGCCCAGTTCAACTCTCAGTACCAAAAAATAAAAAACTCCAACTAAGAAAAACAATCCCCATATATTATAAAAACCTAAGAATTTCTTTTGAGGCCAGAGATTACATGATCATACCTATTTCCTCAGCCCAGAGTCCTAGCACACTGTAGAGTCTAAATACATTTTTCCTGAATAAATGGTAGCTCACTATTATCTATGATTATCTCATTAATATTGATATAACCACTCRAGTTTAATAAATGCTTGATAGCAACCTTCTTAAAGAGAAAAAATTTTCATGGTCATGTATCCTGTAAGCGTGTGGCAGTTACACAAAAATAAATCTGCAAATAATTCTAGGATGAACATACCAAAGATAGAAATATGCCTATAAGCCAAGAAATTAATTTCAATTTTCATCATGTCAAAGTGACTCATACCTCATCACAGCAGTGCATCCGAGCCATAGCTTCAGAGAGACGGATCATGCTCTCCAGCTGACGCACTGTAATCCTCCATGAAGACTTGGTTACTCCAGAACCATCCCTTTGGCGGAGACGTTTATACTGTTCCACAATGAAGTCCTCTGATTCTTTGGAAATCTGTTTTAAAACAGCAATGATGTCACCAACAATGAATTACTACAGAAACTAATGCCAAGGAGGCCTCTGAATTCCATATACTAATTTTAAGAACATGGAGACAGCAGACTTAGAATTTAAGCAAATGGCCATTTCTAAATGATGTTTATAATAGAATAAGATATAAAACCTTATACATCTCTGGATGTCAAAGCTCATTAAATAAATTAATGCTCAGATTACCTTGATGCTCAATTTCTTAACTCATGCTGTTTTTGGGAAAAAGGAAGTCAACATAAATATATATTGGCTATTTCAGTAAATTTACAACCCAAATTACGTTTTTTAAAGCAAGAACTCAGCATATTAAAGAAGTGGCCAGGGTCACATAGGAACCAAGATACAGTCATGGAAAACATACTTTTTACACACAAGTCACTCATAACCCTTTGTTTTACACAACTGAATTTCCTCTGGGAGAATAAGAGCCAGCCCAATATCATGAATAATCAAGTGAAGGTAACAGACAATAAAAAGCAAAGAGAATTCTCTAAAATCAGACAAGTGTAAAAACCTCAACTAGAATAAAACAAAATATTTCCTTTTCATAGTTTACTGTAGGAAAATGCCAACAATAAGAGATGCACATTGTGAAGGTTTGCTTATTTTTATTAAGCTTTACAGTCATACACAGTAGGTGGGTTCATCCCAACAAAAATCATATATGCTCCCCTATTTTCCATCCTATCCTCTCTCCTTCCTCTACTCAGCTAATTTCCTTTTGCTCATCTATATATTTATTTATTTTTTTCCTTCTTAGTACCAGGGATTGAATTCAGGGCACTTAACCACTGAGCCACAACCCCAGCCCTTTTTGTATTTTTTTAGAGAYAGGGTCTCACTGAGTTGTTTAGGGCCTAGCTAAATTGCTGAGGCTGGCTTTGAACTAGTGATCCTCCTGCCTCCACCTCCCCAAGCTGCTGGGATTACAGGCATGTGCCACTATGGCCAGCTCATYTATTTATATTTGACTGGTTCATTTTACTTATGCATAAAGTGAAATTCCCTGTGGCCTATTTATATGCACACATGATTTTTAAAAAATTAATTCTGCATTGCCTCCCCTTTCCCATCCCTCCATTCTCTCACTTTGATCTCCTTCTACATTACTTGTCTTCCCTA